AAGAAAATATCGTTATATATTTTTTTCAATTAAGTACAAAATAAAATTCTTATTGACCTGTAAAAAAATTAAAATAAAAAAAAAAAAAATTTTTTTGAAGTTTATAAAAATAAATTTATTTTTTAAATCCATAAACTAATTGTATTACTATATATTCCTTCAAATTGATATTGTTTTATTAATTTATTTAATAACTTTTTATACAACCATAATGTGAACCTTTTTTAATTTATAAAATAATATGTATATACAAGTTTATGTCGTTGTATGTATTTTTCATTATAATATTTAAATTATTTAAATTATTAAATATTTAAATAATCAAATATAATATTGCAGTATTTTCAAAACTATAATAATTACTATAAATAATTATGTATGTGAAATAATTATTTAAAATTTTAAAATATAAAATAATTCCTATTAGTATCTCAAATATAAGTATAAGTTATAATAAGTATAAGTTATATATAAGAATACAAGGTTATCTTATGAATATTATCATTCTAAATACAATGATAAAAATATATTAAGGATGTAATACCGATTTCTCTTCATTAGTTTATTATAAGGTTTATTATAAGGTTAACAAGGTTTAGTTAACGTAATGGCATAGTTACCCTTTGAATTTATGCACAAAATTTTGAATTTACCTTGAGGCCTCATTAATATGATAATATATAATATATACAATATAACATTGAAAAGGAAAAGTTTTTCTAAGAAAGACATGTTCCAATTGTCCATTTCCGTATATAAATATAACTACATTCTGTACCAAATTTGATTCAAATATCTTTTTTAAAAAAAGAGATCCTCATATCTAATTGTTCAGTTTAAATGGCTACAATAAAATAAAGTAGCCAAATCCAACAAATCAGTTTGCGTTTTATAAATTTTGCTAAGTACCATATACGAGGTTCATACATAGGAAAATAAAACAATTTTTCTAATAAGACCTTCTGCTTGATTCGGCAATTTATATAGTTGCTATATCTAACTCTAACCCGATATAAATAAAATTTTGTTTATTTTCTCATATAAATATCAGTATCAGATAAAACTCATATTCGATTGTTGAGTTTATGTGGTAGCTATAGGTAGATTGACCTATATTGGTCAATCTGACGAATGATCAGAGTTCGCTTTCTAAGACTATGTATTAAAAGTTTCGTTCGATTAGTTAAAAAATTAGGAGAGTAATTTGAAATAAAACAGACAGACAAAACGGGTTAAATAAAGTCAAGTCGTCGAGCTGATCAAAAATGTATACTCCATCTACACTTTTTTGTGTAGAGTATACCCTTTAAAAGAAAAATGTGTTGCTTGAAAATGAAAACAGATGTGTAGTCTTTACTACGCTATAATTCCGGTTAATTTAAAATTAACTAGAAATATCTGGTGCACTGATACACTTTAAAGTAATACAATATCTAACCTTATTCAAAAACAATTATTATTTCATTATAATAATAAAAAGTATTATATGATAATAATATTAAATGATTAAATATAAGCGTTTAAATAATTTTATTGTAAAAGTAATTGATCGTTAAAGATAATATGAAAACTTTAAATGCTTTTATTATTTATTAGATCGTAGTTCTTATACAGGATATTTTTGTTAGGAAGGTGTTTAGTTTTGTTATAATTAAATTCAAATACAAATGAAGTACTATTATTTGCCTAACTATTTAGTTCATAGTAGTTATACATTCGTACTAGTTAAAAATGTTTTATTTTTAGTAATCAAATAATAAGTAAAAATAAATATTTTATTACTAAATAAACCAGTAATAAAATAAATAGTAATAAATTCGAACTAGTTGAAAATATTTTATTTTTAGTAATTAATATAATAGAATAGTGAGTAACATTTGTATAACGAAATTATGAGATTTATTATTATTAATATTACACATTGATACATTAGATTTATTGTGCTATAGTTGGAAAAAAACAGGTAACCTAATCTAAATAAATTGGGTCTATTAAAAATATAAACAATACTGTCTGGACCTGTCCTCCAGACCAGTACAAAATTTTGGGTTTTATAACGAGATATAAATGGTCTTCTGTTCCAATTTTATTCTTACTTGCTTCGTGAACAATCGTGTTCGTACGATTAGTATTTTTTTCGTATCAGCTAGCACAGTTATAAGTTTTTACCACATAGGATCAACTTGCATTAAGTGGGCCAATATTAGATAGTTTAAATAACTTCTTTATAAGAATATATAATAATATTGGCTTTTTGTGGCAATTAAAAAAGACTATAGGAAAATTTTCCATTGGAATGATGAGATGATACCACTTTGTCCGGTTTTAAATTATGTTTCATAAGCAAACAAAACATACGCTTTTAGGGGTCTGCATGAAGTTCAAACTTTCCATTAAATTTATTTTTGAGGATTTTCGTATTGAAACAGCAGAAACAAAATTTGCTTTTAGGGAGGGTAATTTATAGATTATAATCATTTAAAAATATATTACGATATTTATATTAAATAATATTATATACGACGAAATATATAACAAGTTGTAATAAATATATCAGGTTCATTTATTTATTAATAATATAAATAAGTAAATAATTTATTTTAGATAACAATATAAAAATGTTAAGAATCAAAAATTACTTTAGTAAATGAAGTAAATTATATAGCTTATACTAATTGTAATTAAATATAACTTAAAACTATACAAAAAAAAATTGTTAATTTGTATTAATTATTATAATTATTATTTTATTATAATTAAATTGTTTTAATATTTTATTTAAAACTAAATTAAATTAAATTAAATAATATATCATTTGTTGCAGTTAAATTAGTATGCTTATGATAGGGATAACATAATAATAATTGAACAACCCTTGAATATGTTGAGAAACATTAACTAAACATCGCATAATAATATGAAAAAAATAATATAATTGAAAACTCTTATTTTTTTAATTTGTTATTAAAACCTTAGAAAATATTAGTCTATGGTATGTACGTGAAATATTTATAAATTAATTATATAGTATATAATATATAAAACATAAAATTAAAACTATCTAGTTATTTATAGAAACTTAATATTAATATTGTTATTTGTTATATAATTATTAATAATAGCTCGAAATATTTGCATAAATAAATAAACAGTTTTAATTTTTTTGTATATAAAAACTTTTTAATTTAATTTTTTTTATATAAAAACTTTTTAATTTAAATTTTTTATGCAAAAACTTTTTAATTTAATTTTTTTTAAATAAAAACTTCTTTCTTTAATTTATTTTTTCATATAAAAACTTTTTAATTTAATTTATTTTATATAAAAACTTTTTAATAAAATATATATTTATATAAAAACTTTATAATTTAATATAAAAAATTTATATAAAAATTTTTTATGTAAAAACTTTTTAATTTATTTTTTTTTATATAAAACCATTTTAATTTAATTTTTGTTATATAAAAGCTTTTTAATTCAATTTTTTTTATATAAAAGCGTTTTAATTTAATTTTTTTTTAATAAGGCATTTTAATTAAATATTTTTTAAATAAAGCATTTTAATTAAATTTTCTTAAATAATCAATTGTTAATACGACCAATTTTATCAATAAAATTTTTTTTATATAAAAACATTTAATTAATTTTCATATAAAATTAAAATGAATGTTTAATTTATTTTAGTATTATTAAAAACTAAAAAAATACGACCTGGAAAAAATTTATTAATATCTAATGTCGACACCAATATTTGTAAAAGTGTAATTATAACTTAATATGACGTACATAATATGCATATATAATTTTCATATAATAAGATATGAATAAATAAAATATAAACGAGTAAAAATACTTATTAAAATTAAAATAATAAAATACAAACTAAATACAAAAAATGGAAATAAAAAATAGTAAAAAGTAGATATTAAAAAAAATGGAAATATAAGAAAAAAATATAAAATTGAAATAAAAAAAAAACTAAATAAAATATTTTTTCGAAAGCATTTTTTCTTCCATATTCTTCATAATTTTATATTACTCCTTTATATAACTTTTAAGAACATACATAATAATTAATTAATTAAATATTTTTTTCTATTTCAGGTGCTTTTTGACTGTTTGGAACATTTTTAATGATTACGTTAAAACGTTGTTAATTATTATAAAAAATTTGTTTTGTTAATTAATCTAATATAAAGTAACTTATGTGCAATCGTTTAAGTTCGTTTTATTTTACAAGAAAATTGTATATAATTTTAGTTAAATAAAAACAAAACAAAATATAATTATAATATAAAGTAATTTTGTTTTAAGTTAAATGCAAAAAGTGATTTTAAGTTAGTTTCTCAAAATTTAACAAACAAAATTTACAACAAAATTTGGATTACAACAACCACTACAAAAACAACACACACAAAGCAACAAAACCGATCAACCAACTATCAACTACAACTACAACAATAATAAAATCATCATCAGTAACAATAATACAAAACCAAAATAATAATAACTAAAAAAACAAAAATAACGAGCAAAAAGTATACTTAAAATACAATAAAATAACAAAAACATACAAAGCCAACCCACAAACCAACAAACCAAGAAGCAAAAGCAAACAAAAGCAACAATAACAACAACAACAACAATAAAACAAAGTAACAAACTTTTCGGACACACAAGCAATCAAAATTATCGCGAAAAAAGTTAATGCAGTAAATAGAAACGAAATAAAAAAATAGCAACAAAAATAAATCAAAAATAATAAATAAAAGCAACAACAAATACAAAAATAGTATCCGTCAAAAAAGCAGCAAATCTAAAAAATAGTATCAAAATTTCAAAAATAAAACCCGCAAAAATTCAAACGAAATAGCCAAAATTTGTTAAATTTGAAACCAAAAAAGTCGATTTTACATCGGAAATATTTAAGAAAAAATAAAAAAATTATATTTTTAAATTGAAACTTTTAATTTGGTAATTTTTCGTCTTTAAATTTTGTTGAACGTTCCGAACGCAAAAGTTTGAAGCTAAAAAGTTTTGAAAACTAAAGTGAAAAATAAAAAAATTTGAGAAAAAAACTTAAGAGAAAAACTCAAAAATACCTTTCAAATCAAAAGGAACCCATTAAAAACATTAGAAAGGATTCTAAATATTTTAAGAAAAAAAATTTGTTAAGTCCCAATGAACAAATAATGGCATTTGAACAAAATAAGTGAACTTTGATGAACATGAACGATCGATTCTGGACAAACAGTTTGAATCAAATACAGTTTGGAACTAAATTGCAAGTGAATCAAAAATATTGTTGACTTAGAAATCAAGAGAAAATAATTTTGGATATAGAAAATTCAATTTAAAGTCTTGAAAATAAATATTAATAAACATTTTACTGCTAATAAAAAATAAACAAAAAAATAAATAAAAAATAATTAAAACTAAAACGGACACACTCAAAACCACAAAATTGCTCTTCACACGTTGGAATCGAGTGCAAGGATAATACCCTCAAGGTAAGCTTTTATTTTAGATTACCTAGATAGTACAATTATATGCTATTTTTTAGGGCGAAAGACCGGACCTAGTAGTCCAGTGCCTTATTCTTAGTTAACTTTAAAATTAAATTTAGTGTTAACTCACAAAATAAATAATAAATAAATTAATGCTATTATAAATATATTATTAATATAATACATTAATATTAATAATAAATATTATTTATAATAATATAATATAATTATTATATTAATGTTCTAATTATTATTTATAATTAGTGATAAAAAAAAGTATATCGTTGTTTTGATAAGAAATTACTAGATCCGTCATAGCCATCTTATTTTATTTATAATTACATTTAAATTAATATTATATTTAATATCGAACTAATATTCGATATTAAATGATGAAGTAAATAATATTTCCGTTTTATTTATTAAATTTATTTTTTTGCTTGTTTATATATTTTCTTTTTGAAATTATAATATGTATTCAAACTAGTAATTTAACTGAATAAATTACTTTATAACTAAATTTTAAAACTAAAGTTCATAAACTACTAACTTAACTGGATTATATACTTACACATAGTTATATATATACCTTGTTTCCAAATACATATGTACATAATAAGTTTGAATAAATTAACAATTCCTCATTATTTGATTTGATTCATTAATTATTTTATAATTAAAATATTATTAAATTAAACAACATCTAAATATTAATAGAGGATCGTATGCAGAGACTTATTTTCAGGAGAACTTTTAAAAACTAATTTAAAGTTCATACGAAAGCGTTTGAAATTAGTGTGAAGTGTTCCGAAATGTTTTTGTTTACTTACTTACAGCTGTCCATCTCTTATAAGTTAAGCATAGAGCCTCACCTTATATTTTAAATGGATCTAAATCTCCAAAACTTGATTCATATATGCTACGGGAAAATCTCTAGCCTAGCTAAAAAAACAAATTTTTTTTGGGAATTCGAATGTAGTTGATCGATGCTGTAACTTGCAAAATTTTTACTCTAATAAACTTCTGTCTGTACCCCGTAGCGTTCTTTAGAATTTTACCAAATGCTTCCATTTAATATGCCAGCTGTTCATTGAGTAAAACTTTAAAGAGGAGTTATGGTAAACATTACATATAGTTTTCAGTCAAAATTAAAGTACTTAAATTGCTATATATTCTATACAAGTTTCTAACATCAGTACATAGACCGATCATTTTAAAATTCTCTTGTTAAAGCATCCTTGATATTTATGGACTTTGTCAGCAAAATTTGAAAGTACTTTCCTTGTAGTATGGAATAATTTCGCTTTTGACTCCAGTCATATCGATTCGTTTAGGGGGAAAGTTTTCCCAGATTTCGTGTATGCATCTCGATTTTGTTATTTACTAGCATTAAATAGCTTATTTTTGACCAAAATAAATTTATACCGACACCGGTCGTACTGGCATTCCTTAGAAAATCCAATTTTATGTACTTAATGAACTGACTGATTTACATATGGTATATATGGTTTACATAGATACATTTAAGTTTACTTCTAAATTATATAGATCGCAGTATTCTTCCCAATTTTTTATCATACTTGCAAGAACCATATCAAGGGTATAGATGAGAATTTTTTTGCAAGAATGGATAATCCACCACCTATTAATTCATTTTTTGTCTATAAACAATGTAAACCATAGAAGTTGTAATCATAGAAATTTGTTTAATTTAAGAGAACTTTTTAGGCTGACCATACGGTCGCTTTAGATAGACGTGTGCAGTAGGCTGTTCGGAAATATTTAATACACGACTAATAAAAGTCTTCTTTTAAATTCCTAAATACAATTTTAAGTTTTACAATCTAAATAGAAAGCATATCACATATCCATGTATATATTACATTATACATACATATACATTAAGTTTAAGCGGTATTTACCACAAGAACCACATAATCGAATATTTTTCTTCATTCATGAATTAAAATCTAAATTTGCAAATATTAAACGCAAATCTGTAAAAGGAAGTCATTTAAAAGTAGAACAAAAACTATTAAATTATAAGAAGTGATTTTACATCTCAACCTAATAAAAATAATTGAGTGTCTCTAGTGTTCGCAAGTGAAATTGAATTATAATAAATAAATTTATTCAAAAGAATTTCTTATTTTACTAACTTGGCCAACTTAAAGTATCTTATACCTATATATCAAAGTAACATGCATTAAAGATTTTATTTCTATTCAAGATACTATAGCTGTAGTTAAGGATTTAGTTTTTATGTTATATTAAAAGTACATTTCCTCCAAATGTAATAAAAAATAATTCATTTTAATTTAAATTCAATTAACTATTAAAGTATCTTATACATGATTTAACAATTTATAAATTGCTATATTTTTTATTGTAAATATCTAAAACATATCTACTCATGTGACTTTAATTTTTGTTATACAGTCTCTATATAAGATAAGAGACTTTTTTTTACTTTACAATTATTTTTTAAATGAGAAGTGAAGCATATGGTGATCATATGATCATATGATTATTATATGTTTTTTAAACTTGACATTTGTTAATTAATTTCAATCTGAATCGTATTGAGGCATATTTATATTAATTAAAATAGGAGTTTGATGAAATGATGAACAAAATTAGACACATAGAATGAACTAACATACATAGATATATTATTTAAAATAATAATTGATTTTAAGCGTGATATGTGTTGGTAGCTTACTTTTTTTTTTAATTTTCAAACGTCGAATAAAAGGCTAAATGCCAATTAATCCATTTTGTGTCCATCCCTGAATTGTAGTCACATTTTCCAACACGGTAATGTATTTAATAGTCCCGCAGGAATTTGAATACCAAATATTTTTGATAAAGATTTCAATTAAATTCTTATATCAGTATGTTGTCAAGATCTTGTCATAATGTGTGAAATACAATACCGTTCATATGTCCTCCACGGGGTATCTTTTCCAAACTATAAAATCTTAATTGGCAAAAGTGCGGCTAGTTCTGTTGAATACGTTATTCATGATAGAGCCCTGAGATACCACTCGATATATTTAAAAAGCAGACTTTCCCACTTCGAAGTTGAGTTAACTTGGTTAACCAGTCACACATATTAAATACAGATAAGAAATTGCCTTCACAGATGTCGTTTTTTTACAGCTCTTCCACAGACTTGAAACTTTTTGTGTTGTTTCAGGACAATAGAACTGAAAGTTTTGAAAACGGGACAAGCTCATTCAAAACATGATGTAACATATGAACACCTTAGTCATGAGAGAGATGAATAAGGCGCTCGTATATCTGAACTGTTTAGAGTTATTTGTACTTTCCAACTCAATCACTTGTCTTTATATTATAATAGAAATATCCTCAGTTCTCTATATTCGTGTAATAGATCGTTTTCCTGAATAAAGTGTATAGTGCATAAGAAAAAAAAAAATTTGGAATAGAAAATTAAAGAATTTATTTTAAGGAACAGCATTATTTTAAGGGCACAATATAGGTCTTTTACTACCTCTTTTCACATAATAATAATTGTGGTTAACAGATCTAACACATATAAAACAATAGTTTGAGATTAACTTCCTGAGGAGGAAGTGAAGATAGAAGAAGAGAAAAGTAGATTATGATTTAAAAACTAACTACAAATTTTCAGCGGTGTTTTGAAATGCTCTACATTATAACCTGTCCCCTATTTTATCAGAACAAAAAACAAAACAAACTTTTAACTAAGTATGTGGTAGACTTGATAGAGGCCACTCATACACTAAACAATACCAACTCTTAACCTAAGTTTATGCAACTAATAGTTGACTTCTGAGACATAGACACCGAAACATTTTTATTTTATAATTAGTTTTATAAGGTTAAAGGCTGAAAGTTTAAAACGTTAATAGTTTAAATGCTATTTGGTTGTAAAATTGCGTCCATCAGTCATGCTGGTCGTCTATTAAATATTATTCACCTCTCTAATTGTTGTTGTCAATGTTAACAGTGGGTTTACTTGCGTAAAGTAATTTGGAATAAATGCAAAACTTATTGCGGATTAACATATCAAGTTCATTTATACCATATCAAAGGCACCTATAATGTCAAGCGTAGTGGGCAAATATGGTTTTTTTTGCTACGGTCATAAGAGAGCAGTGTAGAGCAAAGGTTTCTCAAATTTTTGCACTAACTGCCCCTTTTTTTGTTAAATATTTTTTACACCATATGCTGTCTCCTACCTTTATTAAAAATTAATAAAACAATTAGCACAGATTTCATTTCATCTAGTTCACTTTTTAAATTCTTAATATATGTATATGCCGAACTCAAACAAGTCGAAATATTTTGAAGGCTTATTAAATTCTCTCTTTTGATATTATTAGCATTGACTTTGGAAATCACAAATGCCAAATATTGCCTGAGTTATGATTGTTATATGCTTTTACGATATTCGTATGTGAAGTTTCCATAATGCCTATAAAAAGGCTTCCAAGTGATCGAGCACTACGATGCCCGAATAACTCGGCTAATAGTGCTTCAAAATATTCGACCACTATGATGTCCGGATAACTCAAGTAATCTTGAATAGGAATAAAGGAGCTACTGTTCTACGTTTTATAATATTTTTATTTTGGTTTATACAAATACGTATATTGAAGTATTGAAAATTAGACTCGAGTGCAGGATACTTTTAAATTCTCATATATTTCAAAGCTTTGAACAGGACATTCCTACATCAAATTTATCGAGCAGTTCCAAAAGTGTTCGAAACTCAACTGCTTACACAGATATGAACTTCAGTTTCAAATCAACATTTTGCGAGTTAATGTAACACGCATAAAAGTGTTGACACGGTTTAGGAATGTGTTTATACGTGCGTGTCTAACTAAATAGATTTAAATGAAGACATTAAAGTGTTGGTTTAACGAGGTTAGTCGGTGCATGATGGAAAATCATGTAAGGTTTTGCAAGGACTAAATAGGATTATATATACGTTGTGTTATGTAGGTGCT